AACACCTACGTGCTTTCGACATTGAACTTAAATCTGACATTGAACACCCATGTGTTTTTGACATTGAAGTTAAACCGGACATTGAACATGCCGCGAATTTTGCACCCATCACAACTTCAACGTTCAAAATATGTTGAAAAAAATTACCACATGTTGAATATTGGCGGAGTTGGACGATAGCGTCAAATCTCCGCCAATATTAATTAAGCTAACACAAGACAACCCCCCCGGCCAAATTCATTCGTGTCCAGACCTCTAGAACATATCCCATGACGCAAGCCGAGGATTAGCCTACGGTGTAGACCCCAGCCGAGGATCGGATTTGCCGCATCTTGTCGCTGTATTGGAGGTCGTATATTCGCTTTTTTTCGTTTGTTTGTCTTATATTAATTGACTTTTATAGCGCAGATTGAATTGCTAGAGACGCAAAAATTATATTTTAAAAATTCCTAATAATCGCATTATAAATAGTCGATACATTTTAATATTTAGCCTGTAATTGCAAAAACAATGCATGCGTCAACGTGAACTTTTGCTGCGGCAGAAAGGCAGATGGTTTTCTTTATATATTAAATCGTGAGGCCATGTGGTGTACTTTGATAGTACTGGTCAATTTAGCATAATTTTGCGCACTTTTCTTTCCGGATCCGTCAGCCTTTAATAATTTTATTTGTCATGTACTTATACAACAATTCAAAAAAATCCTACCTGTATACTAAAACTTTTGTGTTACACACTTAATAGGTGTCTTCTTACTAATTCAATAACTGTTACACAATAAAGATTTTTGCTGTCAATTGCACTAGAATAATAGAATTAGCATTTTAATAATAACACATAATAGTTTCGTGAGAAAATTTAGTTATCTTATACCATAAACTTATGATTATGATTATGAGCTAGTATTTCGAATGGTGTGAACATAGGCCTACCGGGTGGGGGGGGGGCGGTAGCCCCCCCCCCCCAGTTTTTTGGGTTATCGGGCAATATTCGATCAACAGTCGGGCAATTTTGGTTTGAAATAAAAAAAAATGGGGCAAATTCTGTCAATTTTGTCTAAAATTAAGTCAATTTTTTTGGCAAATTTTGTGATTTTTCTAAAATTTGTGTTATGTTCCGAAAAATATTGGTTGTGCGGAAAATTTTTTTGACCCCTAAAATGGTACACTGACCGAAACGATCCGCTCTACAGTTTCAGATTCAAGTTTCAGATTCAAATTCAGATTCAAATTTGAATATGAAACGGGGGTACAAAATGTGGAATTGCTCAGTCTCTTTTCACGGAATAAACGTAATTCATCAAGGACATCCATTATCAGACTATTGCGC